GGCCCCATGGGCACCAGTTTCCTCCTATGGCTCACTCGAAAGCAGCACCAGCAGCAGTTCCCCACCACTTGCCCTGCAGCCTGGGCACCATCTCCCAGTCCCAGCCAGGGGAGGGATGGATACCCGTCGGGAGCTCATTCTAGTCCCACACTTGAGGGCAAATCCCTCCCCTGTGGCCCCCCAGACATGCTCCCCACTGTCCCCCACCACCGCTGGGGTGTGAACACAGGGCAGAGCCAACCGGTGCGTCCCGAGCACAGGCAGACATCCCAGTGCCTCTTCCAACACACCCAGGGCCAGGGACCTCATCCCAAAACCAACATGCAGACAGGTTCACCCATGTCCCATGAGAGCCCCCTCCTCCCATGCAGAGGTGGTCACGAGTTCTGGGACGACATCCCCTCCTCACCCCCGAATTACGAGCAGTTTCTGAATTACCCAAAGTAACTGGCCAATAACCCAAGACAACGAATGGTTTTAGCCTGGTTTATTAAAAGTCTGCTCCTGGGGATGCCCTGGCTGCCAGCTCTGCACCCGCAGCGTCCCTGCGCTTCCCGTCGCAGCAGCGTCCCGAGCCAGGACCGTGCCCCAGGGCAGTGGGAAGGAACTTGCCGCGCGTTTGGCTGGAAGAACGCCCGACCGCAGCCCTTCCCGGGGGCCTTCACCCCAGTCCCCACGCTGGGCTCAGCCTGGGCTGGAGCTCTGCTTGGTGGGAAGGAGTCCTGGGGTCCTGGACCACTGTCTGGCGGAGGGGGCCTGTGTGTGCCTCACTCAACTCAGGAGCAGAACAGCGGCTGCACAGGTGTCACCCCCGGCTTCATCTCCCCACCACGGGTGTCCACTTCTACCATCCTCAGACAAGTGACAGACGTCAGCCCCACGCACCCATCCCACCGCTCGCTCCCCATGTCCTTGGGTGCCCCAGACCACGACACAGACATCCTGCCGTGGTTATACCGCGTGCTGGAACTTCACTGACCGCTCTGCAGGACAGCAGCTCAGCACACAATATTGAGGAAGGTCACAACATGGTCACGTTCATGTTTTCATCCCCCCAAAGAGCCCGAGCCGGCAGTGGCACCTGTACGACAGCAGCCCCCCCAGATGCTGCTGCCCGAGTGGAGGAGTCTCCCCAGGGACCAGGACCTGCCAGTGGATGGGCAGGGGGGCGGGGCGGGG